GGCCGCCCCTCCGTCGTGGGGAGCGGGCAGCGCGTCCACCCGCGCCGCTGGGGAGCGGGGAGAGCCGTCCCCTAACGCGGGCTGAGCCGTGCGGGAAACTTACGGGGGAGGAGTGAGCGTGCTGCACTGCTCCAGTGACTTCCCGCTGCCGTTCATTCATCTCCCAGCGCGATAGGTAAACAGTCCTCCCGTCACCCAGACCGCTGCCAGACTTTGTCGAGGGGAAGTTCCGATTAGAAAATACCTGCCGAACGGCGGCTTCTTTTTTGCTTGTAACTGTCCTTTCGAACGTTCTTCTCGGTTTTTAGAAGGTCGTGCGTTCCCAGTTACGCTATTTCTGTTGATATTTCTGTCCTTGCTAAATTATTTAATGTTCCTTTAAATGTGTTAGTTTTAACAAATTTTTTTTCTTGTGACTTTTAAAATAATTTATTATTAATCTGTCATGATTGACTTACTATTTAAGTTGACTTGTAAAACTGTGTAGGGCAATGTGAGCTGTGATTTCTAGGGGTAAACTCGCTCTGAGTGCCGTTTTGTCAAACTTTTCTGCCCTTCAGCCGTAGTACACCCTGGAAGTAGCTGAAGCTTTAAGCCTAGTAACACTTAAGACATTTAATAGAAATATCTCCGTCCTTCTAAAGTAGATCACTAGAAAAGGTATTAAGCGAAAACTCCAGGTGATTTGTCAGACTTGAGAATGAAGAGATTTTGATGCATTTTCGTTTGTTTTTCAGAAAAAGAGCAACAGGAAGCAATTGAACACATTGATGAAGTACAGAATGAAATAGACAGGTAAACATTAACAAACTTTTAAAATGTTTAGAAATTAAAATGTAACTTTCAAAAGTAAAAATATTTAGTAAAGTAAGCACTCAGTAGTAGTTCTCACTCTTGTCAAACTCCGCCAAGATATACTTGTGTTCTGACTTGATTAGATGTAAAAGGTATTTGTATGATAAAAAATTTGAAGAAGTATCCTGGTTTCTTGTTTAATTGTTTATAATTAAAAAGGTAGAACCTGAGTTTAAGATTTTAAATTAATTGTGATAGTTTTGGTAATAGAAATATATTTCTTATTGTTTTTTTCAGTTAATGTGTATGCTATTTTGCAAAAGTATTTTTATGTTTGTAAGCAGAAGCAAAAACTTGGTTGAAAAGTTAGTTTTTATTGTACTTTTTTAAAAATTATATATTCATGTGCTTGTAGAATAATGTGTAGAAAGTGTCTGAAACATTAGTCTCATATCCCAAAACTCTCTGTGGGCTCTGTGTTGATATTTGCCTGGATCTTATCTCCGTGCACACTGTCCTACAAAGACTGCAGGTGACTATTGAGGCTCTGGCCATGTGAAGCTGTTGCAGTATCAGGTCTCTGCCTTTTTACAAAACCAATTAAATGTTACATCTTAAGATTTTACTTGTGTAGGGTACAAAATTGCTTTGCTGTAGCTTGCTTGCCTGCCCAAAAGTTACAAAGAGCAGGTGATAGTGTTATGTGTTATCCATCTTCAGGTCCTTTGCAAACAAAATGTTTGAGGTAAATACTACTTTGCTTTGCATAAATAAGGGTCCGTCCCTCATGTAATCCTGTAAAACATTCAATGTGTTAAGAATGTTTCATTAAGATCAGTGAGATTGCTTCTAGTAGTGTGTTTCTTAATAGTTGTTACAGGTTTGGGCCTCAATTTTTTGTTTGAGATACCTCATTTGTTGAATATGGCAGACTAGTCTGATCAGACCCATTAAGTTTTTAGCTAACTACTGATGATGCGTCTTTAAATGTCAGTTCTCTCTCCTATGGTTAACGTGGCTCTTTCTGTTACAGACTGAATGAACAAGCCAGTGAGGAAATTTTGAAAGTAGAACAGAAATACAATAAACTCCGCCAACCATTCTTCCAGAAGAGGTCAGAATTGATCGCCAAAATCCCAAATTTCTGGGTAACAACATTTGTCAACCACCCACAAGGTATATTCTTAATAGCCCTCTTTTTTCTGTAAATTCGCTGTTTGCTTGCTTTTTATGTGAGTGTCTTGCAGCTCTGAGGGTTTTCTAGAATTGTTGCTGGGCATATATTTAAACAGAAGCCTGCTTCGTATGCAAACACTTTCTTTTTGTCCCAGAGTGCATTTCATAAGCTTTTTATTTCTTGCATTTGTTGACCAAAGGAACATCTTGTTCAGTAAAATCCCATGTTGGTTTTCTTTCTGCATTTTAAATGACAAGTTTCCCACTTTTCGTAGTTAATTGGGCCCTTTAAAGGAAGAAGAAAAAAAAGGGGAGGGGGAGGAAAAGGATTCTAGTTTGTTTGGGGTTTTTTGTTTTAATTGGAGGTGAGCCTCTTAGGACTCCTGACAATAGACTTTCTGAGAGGACAAAACAAGTTTGTAGACTGCTTAGATTGGGCAAACTACATGTGTGAAAATGTGTTCAGAAAGAAGGGTAGATGCATGCAGGTAGCTTTTGCTGCTTTTTAATGTTGAGCTACAACAAGTAAATGTAATATTTTCACCTCAGCAAATGCAAATCACACAAATGCTAATAGTCACTTGGCTGGTAACTCAAACAAAATGGGCCACAAGAAGTTGGCTTGGACAGATGTGTTGCTTTTCAAATCTTACTTACTATCAATTTCCTGTATTTCATCTGCATAATACACCTTTCATAGCTTTGTTAATGTGGGATTCCTAATTCTGTCTTAGTATCTGCACTGCTGGGAGAAGAAGATGAGGAAGCACTGCATTATTTGACCAGAGTTGAGGTGACAGAATTTGAAGACATCAAATCAGGTTACAGAATAGATTTTGTAAGTACTTTAAATAATTTCTTCACTTGTGATTTTTTTCTGTTTTTTTTTAAATGTAATTGCATATTGGGTTGTAGTTTGTAACTTAATCTCTTCAGTTATCTATTTAACACCAGGTGTGACTTGGCACATGTCTTTACATTATGTGGGTTCTAACTCTTGCTTTCAACTCTGCAGTATTTTGATGAGAATCCATACTTTGAAAATAAAGTTCTCTCCAAAGAGTTTCACCTCAATGAAAGTGGAGACCCATCTTCAAAATCAACTGAGATCAAATGGAAATCTGGGAAGGTATGTGTCTGTGCATCTGGGAGAGATGATTGCTGCTCTGTGTGATACCATTATTTTAATTATCTTCCTTTTACTTTTTTTCTTTTCCTTTTGTATTGAAGCTGCCTTGTCCTCCCTTTTCTTCCCCTCTCAACTCCCCTTGTCACTTCACTACATATATAGTTCACGGCTATCTTGCAGGGTTTGGAATACCCTATGGACATGGAGATCTGTAGTGAATTCTCTTGCTCAGTTGAGCACCACCATTAAAACAGTGAAAGTACAAGTATGACCAGATGGAGAGATTAACAAGTGCACTAGCTTGTCTCTCTTTGGCGTGGATCTAGACTCTGTGTTCTGTTGTTTTCTTAAGATAACTATTAAATAAGGAATTCCGAGGACAGCAGGGTTTTGGGGGGGCCAGATACAGGGGTGTGAATTTTTTTTCTCTTTATTTCCTCAACTTCATTTGCAGACACTACGTCTTTATAGAAGTTGCAGCCACACAATAATGTGGGCATGTCTTTCATCCAGACAGTATTCAAACATAATTAATTTGCTGTAGTTAGTTTCTCTAAAAGTTGGGAGCACTTTCATGTTACACTTTCAAGATTTTGAAATGAGTATTTAAAAGTAGAACTGAGGACTGCAGTTAAGTCGCTGCTTGTTTTGTCACCCTCAGATTGAGAAGAAAACTTAATCTTTTTTCATTGAGAACTAGAACTTTTCCTCTTGTACAAAAAGTTACAGTCCAGTACAAACTAGCTGAATGATCTTTACACCATACCACAAAATCAATATGAATTCTGGTATTGTTCTTCATGAAACAGTCTAAACGTATAAATGTTGTGATTCTATCAAGAAAACAAACACTACAAGTTTGGAATTACCATATGATCAAAGAAAGAATAGATTTAAATAGCGGATAGTAATTTTCTTTTCAGACTTAGCAAACAGATTTTTGAAACTTACTAAACTTCTGGGTAGGGTGGTAGATACAGGACTCGTTTATGTTCTTGTGACCATATGTTTTAGCTGTTTGTGTAGTTTTTTTGACTTATTACAAAGAATGACCTGAATACTGCAAAGTGGGAAATCTTAGGATAAGAAGGCTAGGCAGTTCTTTATCTCAGGTTAAAGACAGAGCTTAGAGGTATGGAGACTGAGTGTTTCTTAAATTGTGTCTATGTAGTAGTTGTAGCATTTAGCTGCAATTACAGCTACTCTCAGAGCAGCATTTAGCCATTGTGAGACCTTTTAAGCTCCGTATATCATTAAACACTTGTCATACTTGTGCTTCCCTGTGATAGGGAAGCATAAATCAAATGCAAGATCCTGTGAGTTTTCAGTATTTCAGTGGAGGTCATTAAAAGAAAAAGGCAGTTTTACTGTTTTCTCATGTTCATGAGAAATGCAAGTGGCTGAGTGGTATCTTTTTCTGCGAGTTGTTTGTGTTCTAAATGTTTCTTAAAGACTTCTCCCTGAAAAGAGGGAGTTGTAAGTGACTTCTTGTGGTTGTTTAGACAAGTACGTTTCTAAATGGTGCTTATTTGTTTTTGGGGGGAGCGGGGGGGAAGCCATGTAAGGACCACTTCTTAGGGAGCTTCTTAACCTTGTTTTCAGGATCTGACAAAACGTTCAAGCCAGACACAGAACAAAGCCAGTAGGAAGAGGCAGCATGAAGAGCCAGAAAGCTTCTTTACCTGGTTCACTGACCACTCCGATGCAGGGGCTGATGAACTAGGAGAAGTCATCAAGGATGACATCTGGCCAAATCCGTTACAGTACTACTTGGTAAGTATAGCACTGAGTTGTTGATCCATACCCATAATAGCGCTGTGCAAGTGAAAGTGAATTTGATCACTGTAGTTAATGTTGTGTATGTGTCTTTAAGGTTCCTGATATGGTATAGCACTGAGTTGTTGATCCATACCCATAATAGCGCTGTGCAAGTGAAAGTGAATTTGGATATGGATGACGAAGAAGGGGAGGGAGAGGAGGATGATGATGATGATGAAGAGGAAGAAGGATTGGAGGATATTGACGAAGAAGGAGATGAAGATGAGGGGGAGGAAGATGAAGATGATGATGAGGGAGAGGAAGGAGAGGTGAGTAATCTTACCCCTTACCTCTTACCCCTTCCATCTCTGGTGTATGAGAATCAAAAGAAGTTTGTAAGAGGGATCTTGTAAGAATACCGAGCCATTGTTACAAAGGCAAAATAGTTCTTTTCTGTACAATCACTGACAGGGTGTTTGGAGGGGAGAGGCAGAACTGTTACTACCTTAACTTGTGGAGTGGTTTCAGTGTAGCAGTAAGTATGTTTGTGTATATGAGAGACAGCGCAAATAAGTAGTTTTAGTAAATTTGTAAGGGAAGTGCTCGAGAAGAACTAGGATATTAGCGTAACAAAATTCTTACTTAATTAGTGAACATTCTAGCAACGCTTTACTTGTAAATAGCTTTTGTTGATGCATCCAGTTCTGTTGTCCTCCCACCTGTTGGTTTATTTCTGCTTATGGCCAGCTTAGCTAAGGCTCTCTATTGGGCTCAGGAATTAGAAATCTCCTTTAGCAGCAAGCGGGATTCCAGGGACAGCATTCAGGGTGTTGGTAACTTAAAGTTTAGAATGTCTTTCTTTCTAGTAATTGGGCGTGGTGTGTCTGAATTTCAGCAGCAAAAAATTACTTGTATTGAGGTAGGAGGGCTGTTGTGGGCACCAGAGTACTGGGCTCTATTATGTAACGTAGAATTTAGCATCTGAAAGTTGAAGCATTTTGCTCTTCAGAGTTTAGAACGCGAGACCCCTTCACTTTCTAAATGTTGAAGTTATGTCAATGTTTGTAGTGATTATAAGTCATGGTAGTTTTTCAAACCTGATGTTTTTTTATTGGGACATCCAGTTATTAACTGATTTCTATGTAGATAGGTACTCACGGTGAGTGTTATAAAGAGAGACCATCATACAACATGCTATGAGTAGCGCTGTGGGCTGTAGTCTGTAGGGCAGTAAGACATTCTGGTTATTGCATTTGAAAGTTTGTGCTATCTGAAGTTTAGTGATTAGATTTTTTTAATTGTTGCTTATCTTTCAACAGGAGGATGAAGGAGAAGATGACTAATTGAACACTGATGGATTCCAAACCCCCTTTTTACCTTTTTAATTTTTCTCCAGTCCCTGGGAGCAAGTTGCTGTCTTTTTTTTCTTGTGCTCAGTCGCCTTGTTCTCTTGAGGTCTCTTTTTCTCTCCTCTACACCATGGTTCACAATTTATTTTGGGGGAAATACCTTGAGCAGAATACAGTGGAAAAGAATCTACCAGTTTCTGTTTCAAGTTCATTTTTATCCCTTTCTGTCTCAAAACAAAAACTGTTTATGGAATCAACACACCATGTTCTATGGGAAAAAAGAAAACCTTCTGCTCCCTTCACTCTGCTGGAAGCTGAAGAGTGCTAGGCCCCTGTGTAGTAGTGCATAGAATCTAGCTTTTTTCCTTCTTTCTCTGTATATTGGGCTCAGAGATTACACTGTGTCTCTATGTGAATATGGACAGTTAGCATTTACCAACATGTATCTGTCTACTTTCTCTTGTTTAAAAAAAAGAAAAAACTAAAAAAAAAAAAAAAAAAAGGGGGGGGGGGGGTTATAGAAGGTCAGCTGGGGTGGGTTTCAGATGTTTGGGTGGGTTAAGTGGGCATTTTGACAACATGGCTTCTTCTCCTTTGGCATGTTTAATTGTGATGTTTAACAAACATCCTTGCAGTTTAAGATGACACTTTTAAAATAAAATCTTCTCCTAATGATGACTTTGAGCCCTGCCACTTGATGGAGAATCAGCAGAACCTGTAGGATCTTATTTGGAATTGACATTCTCTATTGTAATTTTGTTCTTGTTTATTTTTAAATTCTTTTTTTTTTTTTGTTTCACTGGAAAGGAAAGAAAGATGCTCAGTTTTAAACGTTAAAGTGTACAAGTTGCTTTGTTACAATAAAACTAAATGTGTACACAAAGGGACTGGTTGGTCTTCACTGAAAGAAACAGTTTTAATATCCTGTTTTGAACTTGCTTGTAGTTTCTTGGCATTTTTGGGGGCACTTGGTCAGTATTTATGTAGTGCAATGCAACGTTGCGGTTGCGTGGACTGATAATCAGTTCATTTAGTTTCCACTATTTCAGTACTTGTAAAATGTTTCATTTAGTAGTTACTACTGCACACTCCGTTTCTTGAATTACCTGACTCTGTAAGACAGGGCTGTAGGTGCATATGCCTTGTGTGAAGACAGAGGTTTATAGTCATGTTTTGCAAAAAGATAAATCACTTGATTCTTAGATTTATTTTTTTTTTTAAGTAGTAACTTGCAGTACTGTATCTTCAGTAAATCAGTTTGCATGAAAATACCATGCAAGCTCAGAATAAAAAGACCAAGGAGTCTTATAATAAGGTTTGTGTGTTTTTGTAAATCCTTTCAGTTGAAAATAAATCTTAAGTGCAAGCTAATTTTTGGGCTATTTCAAAGAGCAAGATTCTTAGCGAAGCTTGTGTATAAAAAGTTGCTACTTCACTATTTTCTTTTCTTGGTAGCAGCATGTATATATGCTTTAGATATACTGTACTCTTTTTCATTTTAAGAGACTGCATTTGAGTAGCTTGTAACAATTTCACATAGAGGTTGTTGGTACTGGTATTCCACAAGGTGTAATGAAAAAGTTTGTTTTAACATGCTGTGCTTTTGAAATATTTAAAAAAATGTTGTATCAGCTAATCTAAAATTCAAACAGCTAGTTCTCTTTGGATGTGTAGAAAAGACTGTCTTCTGGGAAGACTTGCTGTTATATTCTCTGATTCCTTTTCCTCACAGAATTTGCTGTAGTCAAATGTAGCTTTTTTTGATGCTTAAGAATACACTTAGCAGAACAAGATTAATCTCTATTTGAGACATGCCCAAACAACGTGCGTGGGGGAAACATTCTGTAAGTGTCTGGTGCAGCTTGGATTCAATCCAGTTATCGGAGACAATACGACGTCCAGTCTGCATGTGATCAATGCAAAAATATGGCAACCATTTACTTTATTCCATCTCAACAAAAGCTTCTGCCCTGATCCTGCTTGCAGAGCAAAGGAAAATGTTAATTGGTAACGGTGTCTTACCATCTAGAGAGAGAAGGAAGAAAACCTATGAAATGTATAAATTTTAGATTCTTTTTCATTTGATTCCTTTTTGTTGTAAGATTGAAAACCGCTTCCTGTTGTGGTAGAGGGTCAATGTGCTATTACTTGCCCTGATGCCTCGTTACTTAATTTTTATGTAGTCCTAATTGATTGTAGTTCTTCAAGGAAAATAATTTTTTCCTAGTCTAATGCTTTAGGAAAAATACTGTGCCATTGTTGTTATACCCCTGTTGGTTACTAGCAGAAAACCTATAAAAACTGTTTTGAAAGTAATCAAAGCTTCAGGTTCTGTAAAGTCAAATACCATGAACAAGAAATGAGAAGTCTGGATAATGAAATGCTACTTCTGAGATTTTTCTTGCACATTCTTTAGGATTTTACAGGGTGCCAAAACACTCTTGCTACTGTACTGATAATACTGAATTTCCTGTGAAACTTAAGGGTTTACTCCTGGCAATGGCTAAAGAGTAAACTAACGTGCTAAAAGAATAAACCATATTTGTTAAGTGTAATCTTAATTTTTTTCTTCTAGCGATCGAAATAAGTAGGGATTAACACATCTCTCTGCAACACTGAGGAAATACTACAGATGGCCATCATGTGCTCTGACTGTTCACTTAATGTCTAATTTGGCTGAATATATGTAATGGGTGTCCATTTTTACTTGATTTAATTTGTATATGCATATAAAGAGCATTTAAAGGTAGACATGCACCTTGGAAAAGAATGGGAGATTCATTCTTATTAAACATGTCTGTATCTCATTAATTCCCCACGGCTGCTTGAGCTCCTTGCATCCAGTTAATCCTGCCGAGTGAAATTTGTCACAGGTGGAAGCTGAATTCAGGCTTTGTGGCCTGAATTTCCAGGATTAGAATATAGAGTTGGCAGCCATTTAATAAAGGTGAAGCTACTGTGCTGGGGCTGTATGACTTAAATGACTCAAAGGTTATTTTTTATTTTAAGTTCGAAGTTTAATTGCTATAAAATGGAATCTTTTGTTTGTAATTTCTAGTGCCAAAAGAAAGCAAATACATCCGTGTGTGTAAATACAGTTAGAAAGGTTTGGGTTTTTTTAAACAGATTATCTGTGTGCTTATTCATACTTGTCAACATAGTTTTTGTCCCTGGTAAACAAGCATTATCTGAATCGATTTCTCAGTCATTTATGCAATTCATTTGAATCTGTAAGCTTCTCTTTGTACCACACACTAACAGATGCATAACGATAGTACTTTGTTTATTGGATACTGTTCCTGAATTTTGAAGCCATGCTTTTTTTTTTTTTAAGAGACTGAAATCAATGAAATAACTGCTCTTATGTACCTTCCAGATATCCTTCTGTTTGAAGGAATTAAAGTACATTTAACTGTTACTTGATGTTACCATTTCTAAGAGTCTTTTTGAAAAGAATCAGTTATTAGTCCCAAACTCGGCATCGTCTTTCACGGGTGAGGTTGGTAGTGCTCACTTCTCTTTTATGGATATCAGGTGCCTAGTGCGATAAGAGTGACAGGAGGCCACAAGTGACTCTGGAATAAGATGCTTGCTTCCTCCAGGGAACAGATTTTTGCTTTAATCTCTTGCCCTCCTTCTCCTGGATTAAAAATGGAAACTTCTAAGATTTATCTTTTGATCATCACCTTCTCTGAGTGAATGTACTCTAGTGGAGGCAGTCCTATACGGTATGACTCCCGCTGCCTGCTTCTTTGCGCAGCAGAGCCGGTGGGGCTCCTACGTCCCCCCGGCACGGCCGTGCCCCCGGGGCCGGCTCTCCGAGGCACC